CTTCTAGACACTGAGGGAATGTGCACACATATACACATATACATATAACTTAAAAAAGTATAGTAATAATAAATCTTGAAAACTTTATCACATGATTCTGTGATAGTGTTGTTTAACATGCAAGCTGTACTGTTAATATATAAAACAAATTTTAGTGTTTAATTTTTTCAATTTATTTTATGAATGTTTTGCCTGTATGTATGTATATTTGTATGTATGTATGTATGTATGTATACCACTTGCATGCCTGGTGTTCACAAAAGCTAGAAAAGGCTGTCGAATCCCCTGGAACTGGAGTTACAGATGGTTGTGAGCCACCATGTGGGGGAAGGGAATTGAACCTGCATCCTTTGGAAGAGCAACAAGTATTCTTCCCTACTGAGCCATCTCTCTAACATCCTTAAATTTTTTTTTAAAGAACTGCAGATTTAAGCTAGCAGATTAGTTCCACCCCTGACACCATGTCTTACAGCCTCACTCTATATCACTGGTTTTACTGGACAGTTTCATGTCAACTTGACCACAAGCTATAGTTATCCCAAAGGAGGAAACCTCAACTGAGAAAATGCCTCCCTAAGATCTGGCTATAAGGCATTTTCTTAATTAGTGATTGATGGGGGAAGACCCAGCCCGTTGTGGGTGGTGCCATACCTAGGCTGGTAGTCCTGGGTTCTGGAAGAAAGCAGGTTAACAAGCCATATGAAGCCAATAAGCAGCACCCCTCCATGGCCTCTGCATTGAGCTCCTGCCTCCAGGTTCCTGCTCTGTTTGAGTTCCTGTCCTGACTTCCTTCAATGATGGACTCCAATGTGGAAGTGTAAGCCAAATAAACCCTTTCCTCCCCAACTTGCTTTTGGTCATGGTGTTTCATCATAGCAACAGGAACCTTAACTAAGACTGGTCTTTATTAAAATATTTGCTTTTGTCATTAAAAAAATCTTTTTAATGTTAAATTTCAAACTATTGCATTACAATTTTTTCTATTTATTCTGATTATAAGTTTATGACAACCCTAGGATGTATACCCACAGTAAGTACCTTATTTCTCATACCTAAGTCTTAACCAGGTCACCATACACACACACACACACACTCACACATGTAAATGCACATGTGTGTAAGCCTGAGCACACCCTTAGGTGTCATCCTTAGCAACACTGTCTACCTCCTTTGACCTGAAGACAGGGCCCTTCATTGGCTGGAAGCTGACCTGGCTGATTAAACTACACTGGGTAGGCAGGGAGCCCCCAAAGAGTCTGCTATTTCTGTCTCCCCAGTACTGGGATTACAAGTGGATGCTTTCACACATGGCATTTTAAAGTAGGTTTTAGGGGTCACACTCAGGTCCGTGTGCTTACAAGTACTATACCAACTGAGTCACCCCAGCAGCACCCCCAAAAGCCACACACTGCGAGGCCTTTCCTTTTGCAGGAGCTGCAAGTAAAAATGGTTTCTAGAAAGACAGATGCAAAGCAGAGAACATGCATCCTGTCCTGACAAAGGGGCCAAGGTCCACATCTAATGGGAAGGGAGGGTCTGAAGTCCAGGCTGCTTCTCCCCAACCTGGGAGGAAGACCCTAGTCTAGGCCACTTCCTGAGAGCACAGAAAACAAAGGCCACCTGCCAAACAAGGCCAAGCTCAATGCCCTCTGAACCTTTCTCTTCTCACTGTTCAGTTTTGAGCAAGCAGCATCTAGCTAGAGATCACATCTTCCCAGTTCAGAGCAGCGGGGGTAGGGGGTGGGGGTGTCCAGGAGAATTCACTGCAAATGCTGGCATGGGCTCAAGGCTGAAAAGCTGTGTCTACTGAACAATGAATGAAAGAGGAAAGAAACAGGTATGGCATCTACCCAGATACTTGGAATTCAACAACAGCAAAAGAATACAGCAAGCCAATGTTAACAAATATATACTTTCTTGAGACAAGGAGATTACTTTGTCATTACTTCAGGCTGGCTGGCCTCAAATTTGCTGTGGAGTCAAGGATGACTTTGAACTTCTGATCCTTCTGCCTTTGCTTCCTATGTACTTGTGTTTTAGCCCTGTGCCATCAACAAACCGGGTCTATGTGATGGCTGGGACTGACTCTAGGCCTCTGTGTATGCTGTCAAGTCATATCTCCAATCCCAACACAGACAAATATTCTAATAGAAAAAAAATATATAAGCCAAGGTGGAGAGTCTCCACTGGAGTTTTTCTGAGTTGGAGAACTTAATAAAAACTTGATTTTTAAATCAAACGGTTCAAAGATGAGATTTAAAAACTGATGGATGTTTAAAATTTCAGGCCAGGCAGGGCAGCCCATGCTCATAATATCAGCATTTGGAAGGCTGAGGTGGGAGAGGGGAGTCACTGTGAATGAGGCCAGTCTGAACAGTCTGGACTACATAGTAAGTTCCAGGCTAGCCTGGGCCAAAGAATAAGCCCTGTCTCAAAAAAAAAAAAAAAAAAAAAAATGCTGTTAGCACATACTTGTAAACCAAGTATCCAAGGGGCTGAGGAAGTTAGATACTAGCCTGGGCTACACGGTGAGTTTGAGGTCAGCCTGAGCACCAGGAAAATCTTGTCTCAAAGTATTAAAATAAAACAAACAAACAAACAAAAAACTATTTTAGAACTAAGCAAAAAAGTTGCTATGCAAAATCCATACAGAAAACTATAACTAAGTTAACAATAAACGACAAGTTTTATACAATTTTTTAAACCAAAGGAGAGGGAGCTGAATCTGTAATTTGAAAAAGCAGCATGAAGACATTTCCTAGCAAAATGACAGAATATTAATTAGTAGAAAGAATCCGGGCTGGCAAGATGGCTCAGTGGGTAGAGGCACTTGCAGCCAAGCCTGGTGACCTGAGTTCAATCCCTTCTATTATGTGAGTCACATAATAGAAGGAGGGGAACAACAGATTGCCTGTCCTCCGACCTCCACCTAGGATACAGGACATATGCATGCCTACACACATGCTGCACAAATACACAAATGTAAAAAAAAAAAAAAATTGTTTTAAGGAAAGGAGTCTTAGACTGTAGTAGAAAGACCACTCTCTCCCATGGGTAACAATACGGTGGCCTGAGACCTCTCCAAAGGGATAGAATGTGATATGCTGAAGAAAACCCCCGAAAAGTCATACCTGCCACATTGTCTCACAGCATAAAGGCTGACATAATGCTCAGGGGGTGACGAGTCTTTTTTTGTTGTTGTGTTTTTCAAGACAGGGTTTCTCTGTGTAGCCTTGGCTGTCTTGGAACTCAGAAATGCTGATAACCAACTCACTGCCAGGACCAATCTCCAGCACAGGAGCTTCCTGGAGCACTAAGGTGGCTCTCCCTGAGGAGAGAAGGCTGGCCAAGAGCAGATCTTCCTGGCTTGAAAGAGAACTTAAGAGCCAGTGGTCTCGGGGACACCGGAGTGAAGCAAAGGTACTGTCCAAATGTACCTGCAGTCACTGTAATGGCAACGGGTCCTTCTGAGAGCGCGAGAATCGAGGGCAATTATAGCACAGGGTCAACTTAGGAAGGCAGCTGAGAGCTACGCTATGCTAAGAAAAGACTGTACACCCAAGAACTTTGAATACCCTGGGAGCTGTGTGACAGATTTCTCTTCTCGTTAACTATTCCTCCTTTTGGTTTAGTTTAGGGTTTTTTTTTTTTTTTTTTTTTTTTTTTTTTTTTTTTTTTTTTTTTTTTTTTTTGACTGGGGGTGGGAGGGGCGGGGTTTCAGGTATAGCTGAGGCTGGCCTCAAACTATGTAACCTGGCCAGCCTTGAACCCCGATCCTCCCACCTCTACTTCCCAAACACTGGGATTACAGGCATGCATCACCGTACCTGCTTTCCCTGCCTTGGTACCACTGTAAGGAATCGGTAGTTTGGAGATGAATTCTACTCAAAGAAGCACCAGTATTACACACACACACACACACACACACACACACATGCTTCTTGTGCTTGAGAAACTTGAACACAAGATTTGAAGGAATTCGAAAACACTGGGCAGTTTGGGTAGTGTTAATAATTAGGGAAGATAATTAGATTTGTCTGGATTTTAAACAATTGAGTTGCAATAAAAGGAAGTCTGCACATGCTAATGTAATTTCTAGTAGCAAATAAGTGTGCGTTTGGAGAGGGAAATCTGTTCATCAGAGCTTGGAATACACAGCCAGAAACTAGGAACAGCAACAAGCAGGCACGGACTGAGCACTGGTTCAAGGGTCCCTTCCTGTAAACCTGGGAGGCTCTCCATTCTATCAGACAGTACTAACCATGGAAAACCGCTCAGGCACCCCAAACCCCAGCATCCCCTGTGGTTTTCACTCCCCAGCCCAGACTCCTTGGTGACCTTTCTCAAGTTCCCTTTTCTGCTGTTTCTCCTTGCAGAGGCTGTTCCCTGACGGTATAGTTCTTCTTCTGGCCTTTGGTGTAGCCTCTGACCATCCCAATAAGGTGAAGAGTCTGCCCACCCGGCCCCCTCCATTCCACATTTCTTCCATTCTCCCCGTGGTTACCATTTTACACTGTAGGTCATCTGTCTTTTCTGCCATGTCTGCACTGTCTCTGGCACACAGTGGCACCAAGTGCATCACAGATGATGCATGAATTTTGGTGAAGTGGCTACACATTCACAGAAAGCAGTGACAGCCTTGTGTCAGCAGCGTGAAGGCTTTCAGCTATGGGACAAGAACATCACAGCTACAGACAAGACAGTAGCCAATCAACTGCCTCATGTGAAAACAGAAAAACCTCAGGGATGTGGCTTGTCTCAGATTTGCTGGGCTCAGATACCACTAAGCTGAGTACCCACCCTATCCCAGCCTGTCCTGAATTGGCAGCACCCTCAACCAGGACAGCAGCAGATCATCTTCCCAGGCTCACAACAAGGACCAAGAAAAGCCTCTTTCTGAAGAGGCTCAGTAGTTTGTGTCCTGAGCTGGGGAGGGAGAGGGCGTGGCTCACTAAGAGAAACATGAATAGGAACCAAAAAGAGGACAGACTACACGCCACTGGAAGCTGGTAAACGCACTTTATTTTGGAAAACCAATGATCAACAGTAGCTCCACTGGAAGGAGTATTGGCAGCAGGGTAGGGCATTTCACACGGCAACACTCTGACAGGGGCATTTCTAGCCACGGATGTGTACATGTTCTGTTTTGAGTTTCAAATCACAACTGCAGTTTTAAAGTTCCTAGAAAAGGCATCCTCATAGAAATGCTCCTTTAGATAGGCTTCAACCTACGAACAGCAAAACCCAGATGTGAAGAGCAGCAGCACACCAGGAGTACCATACGAAAGCACAAGGTTAGGCACTTTATCACAGAAAACCACTCAGAAATACTGGAGATGAGGTCCACTCTATGGAGCTGCTGCTGGTCCCTCTCCTCACCAGCTTTACAGTTGTCGGGCCACAAGAGCACGAGCCCTCAACGGAAGCACCACACCCTCCTCTCCTCCCAGCATTCCCTCTACAACCACAGGGAGACTGACAGACAGTGGATCCCTGACCCGAGGAGGAGCACTGAAGCCACCTGAAATGATTCCTTGGGATCGGAGCGGCACTGCCTCGTGATCTGCATCACTTCCTGTAATGAGCTTGTTGTCTGGATCCTGGGTGTGCAGTCAGCTGCACTGCACACACAGTATGTTATCTTCACTAACTGCAGTCCATGCCTGCCTCCGTCAAGCCACAGGTTCTCGGCTCGGCTGATGAGGCCTTTAAGACACAGACACATCAGATGCAGGGAAGAGGGAGGGAGTGGTACTCTGAGGACTCACCAGATGTAAGAGGTACAAAACATCCATCAAGTTTCCATGTCAGGTGATGCCACAGTTAGCATGACTTGCCAGTGTCCACTACCAATCACAAAGCCTGCCTTCACATGTAAAGCCTTCTTCATACAGTAACTGTGATACTGACCAGAGGTCATGCACAGACCCTTTCTAGAAGACATGAGAATGTCATCTGGTATGCAGGTTCCTGCACCCGCTTGCCTCACGGGCCTGCAAGGGGCTGGCTGTGTGGTCCTGCCTGCCCGGCGGGAAGTGTACCGCCTGGCTAGAGGTCTTCTCTTCTGCTCCCAGCTCGGTTGTCTTCCTTGGAAGCCCGTGGTTTGGCATCTCCCTCTTTCTTCTTTTTACCCTTCTCTGGCTTTGTCTTATTTTTCTCCTTGCTTCCTCCTCCTTTGCCAGGGTACACCTGTCCCTCTAGAGTGACATCAGCACACCTGTCTTGGCTGACCAGAAAGTCCTTGATCTCCCAGGCATAGCTCCCATCCCGGAGCATGAAAATAGCACGGTCTGATCCCACGATGAACCTAAACAGAGAAGCCCCCAGTTAGCAATGCTAGTGAGGTGCCAAGGGTCAGAAAAAGTCGGGGCCCAGAACCAGACTTCAATTCTGCACCAACACAGAACACCATATTGTACTGCCTTGGGCCAAGTGGCTGCTGACTTTAATATTGGCTGAGCTTTAAACAAGCATCCTGCTTGGATCTAGACAGAAGCAGATGATGGTGTTCCTAAGGCATAAATGAGATTATAAAAGAAAAACTCCTTCGGGGGCTGTGGAGGGGCACAGCCCCTGAAATGTTATGTCTATCTCTGTTTTACATATTGGGGGGGGGTTGTTTTGTTTTTCCCTGATAAATGGTCTCATGTAGCTCAAGATGACTTCATAGGAAAATGACCTTGAACTTCAGATCCTCCTGACTTCACCCCCAAGTGCTGAGGTTACAGGCACCTGCCACTGTGCCCAGCCTTTTCATGTCCTGAAGTCTCTAGTTAGTTTTGTTTGACAAAAAGCCTTTGCTGAGAAGGCTAACAGGCACTGGCTTAGAGCAGGTACTACAGGGTCTTCCTCAAGGCCCACGGGACACCTCTAAGCAGGCAGAAATCCTAACTATCACGGTCAGAAGCAAGCAGCTCAGCTTAGGCCCTCTCGGCAGGGCCCAGGAAGCACAGGGACAGCATGGGTCCGGGAAACACACAAAAGCATGTCCAGAAGCATGGCGCTTCTGTTTCTGAGCACTCCACAGCTGCCCCCCTTAGTAGCAAGGCTTCCACTAGAGAGCAGTCATCACCAAGACATGGCTCTGATGAGGTTACAGAAGGCATGCTGGCCTGTGCACTCTCAAAACTCCCATTCTTTCTCATCACTTCCTTACTTTCTTAAGGCATCTGGAGACCTAGACTTTCAGAACTATTGCTAAGGAGAAAAAGCAGGCTCTAAAAAAAATAGGACACGGGGCTGGAGAGATGGCTCAGAGGTTAAGAACACTGGCTGTTCTTCCAGAGGTCCTGAGTTCAATTCCCAGCACCCACATGGTGGCTCACAACCATCTGTAATGAGATCTGGCTCCCTCTTCTGGCCTGCAGGGATACATGCAAACAGAACACTGTCTACATAATAAATAAATAAATCTTTAAAAAAAAAAGGACACTCATGGATGGGAAGGGAAGAGAGGGTGGTAAGGATGGATACAGGAGGGGGTGGAGGCTGGTGAACATGATCAAAAGTAAACTCTATGAAATATATATAAAGTAGAATCTTCCACATTGTATTTTAAGATCATATGGTCTTTGAAAACAGACTTCTTCACATTAGTTATTTATCAGTCACCTATTACAGCTGCATGTATCGACACCATGGATTGTAGAGCTGTAACTCATTCATCCTAAGAGGCTAAGCAATACAACTCTTTATTCTGATGAAGTAAAAGTTAGAGACAAAGATAAACAAAACTTTCAACACCAAACAAGATATTAAAACAAACTTACTGGTGGAAAAAAAACAAAAACAAAAACAAAAACCAAAACACCAAAAACAAAACAAAAAAACAGCAACAAAAAACAAATATTTAAAGAAAAAAATATTGAAATAAATTTAAAGGAACTCATAGACAGGAAAGGTCTAAGGTCCTTGGGAAGACTACCAAAAAGGACACCCTGCTTCAGCCCCAGAAAAATCCCTAGCACACCCCCTGGTGAGGTGACCGGAAGCTGTAATCCCAGTGCCGGGGAGGCAGAGGCAGGAGGATCTTTTTAAGTGTGAGGAGTGAACCCACTCCTCCCCCAAAACCCAAAAAAGTAGCGTAGCCTGGGGTCTCTACCTCTGAACATCATAGTTGGCATTGAAGAGGCTGCCCTGCCATAGGCTGGTGATCTCTTCTGTCTCCTTCTCGGAGGGGTTCCCTGACACGGTGACGAACATCATCAGGGTCTTCCCTTTCTTTGTCATCTGCAAGATGCTCTCAGGTTTGCCTGGGTCGAGCTTGGAGAAGTCAACAGGTGCGGAGGGTCTCTTGTGCTCTGGAAGGTCTCCTTCTTCTATGTCATCGTCTTTCTGCCAGGAGAGAGGGAGCATTAACCCTGCCATCACTCTACAATGGCACAGATACTGCCCAGGATGTCAGAAGCAGGGGTACACACCACCAAATTACTACACACGAAAGATTCCCTTAACAGCTCAGGGGTCCTGTGTCATACAGGTTTCTATGATTTTTCATTCTCAAAGAACCTACCCAACTTGGTGGAATATAAAAACAGCCACATTAGGTATTGTTATGGATGCCACCTAGCAATGAAAATCAAATACACCTATAACAAATCCCAAATACAGGCATACTGGCTAAAGTGAGTAATGACTCAGTAGATCAAGGAGAAAGATGGAGAATTCAAGGCCAACTTAAGCAACTTAGCAAGATCTTGACTACAAAACAGCTGGGGATGTGGCTTAGCGGGAGAGTGCCTGCCTAGAATGTGCAAGGCCTTGTGGTCAATCTCCAGCACCACTACGACAACTTTCTTTTTAAAACATAACACATGGCAGGCACAAAAGACATACTATACAATCCCATTTGTTTCAGTATCAAGAACAGGCAAAACGAATGTGGGGGACAGAAATTAGAACACTGATTGCCTCAGGAGAAAGATGTGAGGTGGGTCAGACTGGGAAGAACATGAAGAAACATCTGGTGTGATGGTTTGTAATACCGTCGACTCATTAGTTCTGTATTTTAGTAAGGTGTGGGTTACACTACTCAAAACTCACTGTGGGCTCAGTGACAAATACTTTTCTAGCATGCCCAGGGTCCTGGGTTCCATCCCCAGCAGAGCAAAACAAACAAATCCCTCGTGCTGCACACTCAGCACCTGCAATTCACTGCACACAGATGTTAAATCCCAGGTCCAGGTCTGCTCTATGCAGTGGTGTGACAATTCTGAAAGCATCTTCACTGGATTCTAGGAGCTGGCAAAGGTGCAGACATGCTGAGGGTGACTACAACAGATTCCTCACTTGGGGGAAGAGGCAAAGGTGCAGACATGCTAAGGGTGACTATAACAGATTCCTCACTTGGGGGAAGAGGCAAACATGGAAGGAGGAAGGGTGAACCTTGGAGCAGACTGGAATTGTAGGCACAGATTGATTCGACAGGTAGACGGGTAAAAATATTAAAATGTAGGTTCCTTGAAGAAAAGCCTAATCATTGCATGTGAAACAAAAATGAACCCTCAAATATCTCCCTGCATCAGGAGGACGTGCTCAGTGACTCACACACCACGTCAGAATGACACAGACACCAACCTGAAGCAGCTCAAGGACCAAATTTGGAATAATATGAACATCAAAATAATAGCAAGGATTTATAGCTACCCAAAAGTCCATACTGATATAAAGAAATGAGAGAAAAAAAGAATCCATTATTAACAGTAGAACATCCATAAATAGCCAGTACATAGAATAACTAATAAACAGAAGGAATGCACACAACAGACAAATGAAAATCCCCCAAAGGCTGTTGAGTTGGCTCAGTGGGTAAAGGTCACTTGCCTTGGCACACTGGATGACCTGAGTGTAATCCCCAGGACCCACACGGTGGCATGAAGGAACTGACCACCCACACCCAACTTGTTCTCTGACCTGTGGCTAACACAAACTAAACTAACACCAGCTTGAAAGCTGGCGTGGCTTCTCAGGCTTACGATCCCAGCACTGGGGTTGGAGTAAGGAAAATGGCTGGAGTCTTCTGGCCACTCACTGAGCTTCAGGTTCAATGAGAGACCCTGCTCCATGGGTACAAGGTGGAGCTCGATGGAGCAGGACACATGCTGGAATGGAACTACAGGTGTGCATCACACAAATACACACACACACACACACACACACACACACACACACACACACACACACTCAACTGCACGCAGTCTTGACCTTTCAACTGGTTTCTCCAAGCCCCACAGCTGTCTGCAGACAACCAAGCTGAACTTGCTTCTTCTTCTTCTTTTTTTTTTTTTGTTTTTCGAGACAGGGTTTCTCTGTAGCTTTGGAGCCTGTCCTGGACTAGCTTCTTTTAGGGGCCTTGATAATAGCTACTATTTGCTGAGTTACTAGAATATTTCATCTGGACAAATTTTATCTCCAACCTTCAGAGCAAACTGCTTAAGTTCTCCACTCAAGGAATCAGATGATTCTCAAAGAACAAGCGCAATTTACACATGAACCAGAAGACCTAATGCCAAAGTCAAATCTATTTTCTGGCTTTTCAATCCCTCTGGCCTCCACAGAAAATGAAATCACATCTTTATTTCCTGTGCCACTTGAGACTCAGCATCAGTTTTAACACAGAGTCCTCACCTCCTCTGCACAAACCTGACACAGGACCCTCAGGAGACATTCATATGATTAGGAAGGAGTGAGAGCACTCACTGACTTGAAGATCCCACTGAGGAGAAGATCTCAGAGGAGAACCAGGGCTGCTGGGAAGGGAGCTCACATCTACAGTGTCTACATATAGTAGCTCAATCTGCATGGCAGCTGGCAAAACAAGGCATGCCTTGGTTCACAGAAACAGAAGATGAGGGTCACACACTTCCCTCTGGAGAAAGCTGAGCAGTAGATGAGGGTCACAAGATCATATTTCTCCCTCGTGTGTCAATCGTGCAGGCTTTCGGCTTCACACGTAACATCCTCATCTTAGTCCACCTGCACAGTGCACACTACTAACATGTGCAGCAGTGTCGCTAAGTGGGTCAAAGAGAGGCTCTGAGGTCAAATGACAGAGTTCTAACTAGGCTAACCTGCTGTGACCCTGGGCAAATTGCTTCTAGATGCCTCAAGGTCAGCCTTCAGGAAACAGAACCTCCCTTATCACCTAAGAGAGAGGATTAAAGGAGATACCGTGTAGCAGACTTCAGAGCCCTCCCAGCTCACCCATCCCTCCACTTTCCAGAGTCACTACCTCTCCTTCAAAACCCCTCTACAGCTCCAGGGCACATTCTAAACAGAGTCACTACCTCTCCTCTACAGCTCCAGGGCACATTCTAAACTTGCTTAAAAGTATAGCTAGAAAGACAGTAAGTACACGGGGAACTGCTTAACAGCTATCAGAGGAAACAAATACAACTTTTAAAAGTCCATCTGTACTGATTACAGCCACTAAAATTATGTTTTCATAAAAAAAGATTAGAAACAGGTTGTAATATCCGGGTAAGACAACTTTCATCCCCATCAGATCTACCTATTCATTACTTCTAAATATAGTACAGGCCCTATGGTATTCGAGACCTCACTGGCCTGGTTCCCAGTAACCTTCACTCACTATTGCTTTGCTTCAGATACGACCTGGATAAATTAATTAGCTGATACTGGATACTGATTGTGAATTGTACTCTTCCAAGTCCTTCCAGTTTTCTCAGTTAATACTTGCAACTACTTTGAGACGAACACCAACACTTCCATCATGCATATAAGGAAACTAAAGTACAGAGATCTGTACCAGACCAAATTCACAAGTTTAAGTGGATTTGTCCATCCTGACATAAAGGAGAAACAAAAAACAAAAAATGAATTACTAACAGTAAAATATCAACTAATAAGGTAATGGTGGCATATGCCTTTAATCCCAGCACTCGGGAGGCAGAAGCAGGCAGATCCCTGTGAGTTCAAGGCCAGCCTGGTTTACAGAGCAAGTTCCAGGACAGCCAAAGGCTACACAGAGAAGCCCTATCTCAAAAACCAACCAAACAACAACAAAAACAAACAAACAAACAAACAAGAATATCAACTAATAAACAGAAAAAATGTATACAACAGATAGACAAATATCTTCAAAGGGCTATGTGGGTAAAGATGCTTGCTTGGGCACACTGGATGACCTGAGTTCAATTCCCCAAGACCCACATGGTGGGAGGAAAGAACTGATCACCTACACCCAACCTGTTCTCTGACCTTCACACACATGCTGAGGCACATAGGCAGAGTTCTCTACCAGACCAAATTCACAAGTTTAAGTGTATGTTGACCTGTTGGTCTCTGCTATTCTGCCCAGGATCCAGGTCTCTCTCAGACTCTTCTCACATGCTCTCTTTATCCTGTCTAAAATGCAGTCTCTTCCCTGCAGCCTTCTAGTGTTCCCACAGCATCTTATCTTTATAGGAGCCAACCATTTTTGTTTTGGTAAACTACGGTTATTTCCACTATTCTAACGATGCCTTGCTTATTTCTGCAACCTCCTCTTCCTCAGTGTCTGAACATTGTCCATGGCAAATCTTCTCACAAGGTAAGGTTCTCACTTGGGCAGATTAAAAGGCATTGTTTACTAGAGTCCAAAAAAGTTTGAAATTGAGAAGAGAATAAGGGGATTCCCCATTAGTCATACACACCCACTGAAATCTTCTCTAATTTTTCTTTTCTCTTTTTGGGACAGGGTCTCACTGTGTTTGAAATTTACTATGTAGCTCAGGTTTGACTCAGGCTAGCCTCCTGCACCAGCTTCTTAAGTACTGGAATTACAAACATGCACTACCATGGCCCCACTACTCCAGTTTTTCTGTCGGGTACAGATAACATGAAAACAGGAGTCCCCTTCTACTCAAACTCGGCAGGCGGCTGTCTTAAGCTTATGCCCAATAGTCTTTACCCCCATCCAATATACAGAGTTAGCTACAAGTTAAAACATCAGCATCGGAAACAAACCTTGGGAGTTCTCCTGCAGAAAGAGACAACCTGCCCAAAGTTACACAGTGAGTACAGTTGTGTGACTCCTGTCCATCAGCTGTGCAAATCAAATAGGACAGTACAATCACTTTCGGAACCGCCCCTTAGCACCTTATTCACACTCACTGGGACTACACACCCCAGTGCACACAAGTAACGGATCAGAAAACAGCCTCTCACAAAACAAGTCCACTGCTCCCTTGAATGAAAAACCTGGGTTCCCTATGAGATGCCTTAGCTCTCCCCACCTGTAAAATAAATCCACCCACGAAATTACAAAATCCCCAGCAGGAACATAAACCAAAAGGAGTCGGAAACCCTCTCTATATTTGGAAGGATCTCTGTCAAAGCTAAAAAAAAAAAAAAAAAACGTTCTCGAGAGACAACTTTCACAACCCACTCACTCCGGAACAGGAGGAGGAGTGAGGGAGCGCCCTCTCCCTGTTTGCCGGCTCAATGTAGAGACCACCGGGGCACAGCAGGGAAAGTGGGGCTTGACTGGTAAGAGGCCAGATTCTGACTGGAGTGGCCGGGAAGCCACGGCAGTGGAGAGGACACTGGGGAGAGAGGCCGGAGCCACGGTGGAATGAAGGCGGGCACGGGAGGGGGAGGTGGTCAGCATCAACTTGAGACCGTCAGTAAGGGCCCTGGGTACAGGACGGGGCAAGAAATCAGGGGGCAGAAGTCAGAGGGTCACAAGACCAAGGGAGTAAGGGTTAGGGAGAAGGGCTCTGGACGGAGACAGGCCCGGGAGTGAGGGCAGCACGGACCTCCCACTGCTCCAGAAGTCGCGCCATGTCGGCATCATTGTAATCGCGGATGTCCTTCTTCTTTTTCCGCGGAGGTGGGGTGGCTTCGCCCGGCGTCTCGGCCGCGCAGGCCCCAGGAGAAGGGAGCAGCAGAAGGTCCGAGGCACACAAAAACAGAAGGGCCGCGCGCAGCCACCTGGAGGCCGCCATGTTAGCCGCCCGGCGTAGCGACGGCGCGCACACTGGGCCTGCGCAGACAGCGCGCGAACTCCAGGAGCCCGGGCCTCGCCCCCGCCCCGCCCCGCCCCGCCCCCTGGCTTCCGACTCCGCCCCTGGAGTGTCCTGAGCAGAACTACGCCCAGTGCTAACGCCCCCAGTCCCACCCTCGGGTCCTCAGCCTCCCCGCCGCCCGCAGCCTACGGCGCCCCGCCTCGGCCCATCATTTCCTCCAGTCCTGACCTCCTCCCGAAGCCCCGCCCCCTCACCATGGCTCCGCCCCACAGCAGCCTTCCCTTGAGGCCTCCAACCTCAGGCTCCGCCCCAACCCCCTCATCACCAGGCTCCGCCCCGCGACTCCCCCTCCTGACTCCGCCCCTAGATCTCCGCCTCCTCTCCAGACTCCGCCCCATGGCTCTAGGACTTCACCGGGCTGGGCACCAACTGTTCCTCCTCCCGCTTTTACCCCACCGGCTCCTCCCCCTCACCAGGCTCCGCCCCACGGGCTCCTCCCCTTGGCCTGGCCCAAAGGTCTACCCTAGCTGGGTCTTGCTGGACTGTGCTTTTACGATTTGGAGGGGTGGATTTTGTTAGAAGTCAACCTTTTTGTCTCTCATTCGCTAGTCAGATCTGAAAGTTCCCTCAGGGCCTGCAGAAACTGCCAAACAGCGTCCTTGAAGCCTCAGCTGTTTGCCTGTGAAATGAATGAGAGGGGAAGAGATGCAAAATGCCGTGACCCTAAAGAGGCCCTTTTCAGGGTGTGGACTTTCAGCCTCACTTCCTAACAATTTCCCACGAGAACTTCCAGCTAAAAAGCTAACCACAGCCAGGGCAACTTTTTTCCAAGTCCGAAAATAAAGGATCGATTGTCATTTTGTCCCATAGACGATTCAACACACCCATCTTTCAATACCGCTGTCAATAAATATTGAAAAAAATTAAATTATTAATTTTAACCATTTTTTATTGTTTAAAGTAGTTCCTGTCTCAACCAAGCAGTGGTGATCCCAGCACCTAGGAGGCAGAGGCAGGCAGATCGAGTTCCAGGCTAGCCTGGTCTACAGAGCTAGTTTCAGGACAGCCAAGGCTACACAAAGAAACTCTTTTAAAAAACAAACAAACAAAAGTGATTTCCACTTATTACTGTGGCTCTAATCTTTAAGATAAAAATCACACTTTTTTTTTTTTTTATTTCACAAGATTTTGACCACAAAGCTTTTCAGAAATAAAAAGAAAATATTTGTGGTCAGAGACACCTTAAAGTTTCATAAACTTTTAGTGGCACATCTGATTTCTTTAAAATTTCAAGTTATATAATAAGTCATGAAACCTTGGTATAGTTGGACAATATTCAAACATAATAATATAGTTTTCTTACCCCAAGGTATCACATGCTGCATACAATTCATTTCCATGTTTACAAATGTGGAAGTATCTCAAGAATGGTTTTCACTGTTTATGTCAGCACAGTGTGTGAATTACTAAGCATACTGGAGTCCTTGAGTATTTCATCTCTTTACTGTTGTATAGTTCTGCTTTTTTGTTTTCTGGCTTTTCAAGACGGGGTCTCTCTGTTGAGCCCCTGGCTGTCCTGGAACTCACTCTGTAGACCAGGCTGGCCTCCCACTCAGAGCTCCACCTGACTTGGCCTCCCAAGTGATGAGATTAAAGGCGTGGGCTATCACATCCATCATAAAGTATCCTTCACTACTCTGCCAGTGGTTTGTTTGTTGGTTGGTTGTCCCTACACATGAGCATTATTACTACTCCCCCCCCCCCACATACACACACTTTTCTCTGTGCTTTGGATAGATATGATTAATAGGTTTCAGATAGTGCAAACCCTATCCAAAATGTTTAAACAAAAGTCTTTCTTAGGACTGATACTCCTTCACAGAAGTTGGTGGAAACTGAGTGTAATAGGGTGTCTCGAGTCATCCAGACTTCTTTTTCATACTACCTCATCACACTGGTCTGGAGTTCCCATCCTCAAGGTCATCAAAAGGTCCAGGATAGCTGCTGGTGCTCTGGCCATCAGATGACATTCCAATCAATGGAAATGGGAAAGAAGCCAAGCTGAAGGGAGAATGTCTTTCAGTAGGATCAACTTATTTTAAGCATCCTATTTAGGAATTGTGCACAGCGCTTCTGGTCTCGTTGGCTGGAGTCTACCTCTCTGAGAGGGCATGAGGAATTGTTCTTTAGCTGGATTTGCTACCAGCACAAATAAAATTAGGCTTGTTATGAAGGGGAAAGCATAAAGTGGAGGTTAAGACAGCAGCTAACTAGCAATATGTGCCTTATTTGACTTTCACTCTAAGGTCAAATGTGGTGTGCATTTATCCCATTGCAGCAGAGGCTAACATTTTCCATATTCATGCACAGATATGCATAAACATTGACATTGTGCAGAAACAACTCATAAGCGAAAAAGAGGAATTTTTTTCTTTTCTGAAATCATAGGGGAAATGTCATGAGCCTTCTCCCAGGGGCACATTGCTCCACCCAGTGGCTTGGAGCTCTGTCCTGGCACAGTCATGCTAAAAAACACGCACAGCTGTGGCTGATCATGTGCTCTGCAGGGCGGGGTCACCCTGGTCATTCATTCTGCCAACTGCCAAGGTAAGTTGAAAAAAATGCTGGTTTTCTTGGCCCACAATATCTAGTTACAGAGAATAAAAGGGTTTTTTTTTTTTAGTATTGTACTGCAATTGTTGAAACAAGTCAGAAGTTCCAGGGCTACTGACTGTCATCTGAGGAGGAAACCCATCTGGCTCCCACTCCACTGATGTGAAAACATCTGGAGCAACTGCATTTTCAGCACTTGGATACTTTAAGTATATTTTGGTGTTTTGGAACTTGGACCAGTTCAACTCTGAAGGAATTATTTACCAATGGCTTGTTAGGCAGGTGAAACACACAGGAAGGTGAACCTGTAGTTCTCTGCATTGTATCAGAGGCTTTGCCCTAGCAGAGGAGATAAGCCATCTACTGTGAATTCTACATAGATTCCAGGAGGGGCTAAAGTGATCATGCCATGATGAGTATCTGTACTTATTTCTTCTCTCTCTCTCTCTCTCTCTCTCTCCCTCTCTCTCTCTCTCTCTCTCTCTCTGTGTGTGTGTGTGTGTGTGTCATGTGAAGGCCAGAGGTTAACATCTGGTGTCTCCATCACTTTCCACCTTATACACTGAGGCTGGGTCTTTTCTTCAAACCTGGACTTTGTCATTTCTGCTAGCCTGGCTAGTTGGCTTACTACAAAGATTCCAGTTTCTGTCTCCTTGAGGGCTGACCCGTATTTGCTCAGCAAGTATTTTACCCACTAAACCATCTCCCCACCCCCAGCCCCTGTACTTGTTTTGATTCCAGAATCATTCAACTGTGGTCAAATAGCTAGTATAGCCATGCAGACAAAAATCTGGGTCCAGCAATACAGGACATGTTCTTCCCTGATGTCTTTCTTCTCCCATGCAAGGTACCATTTGGGTTAGCAGTGAGGCTTTTGGCACAATAACACTAAGACCAATACAGAAATAGATTGCAAAATCTGGAGCCAGAACTGGGCGGTGGTGGCTCATGCCTTTAATCCCAGCACTTGGGAGGCAGAGGCAGGCGGATCTCTGTGAGTTTGAGGCTAGTCTGGTCTACAGCGTGAGATACAGGACAGGCACCAAAACTACACAGAGAAACTCTGTCTCAAAAAACAAGCAAGCAAACAAACAAACAAAAATCTGGAGCCAGGAGCACTCAGATTGCACTGGAATCCAAAGCAGGTCTGAGGCAGAGCAATATAGAACTGGAGAAGAGGGGCTGCTGTGGGATGGTCTTTCTGTGTGCTGTGAATATGTGTTGCTATGACTGGTTAATAAACAAGCTGCTCTGGCCTATGGCAAGTCGGGTTATAACCAGGTGGGAAATCCAAGAGAGAGATCAGAAGAAGAAAGGAGAGGAAGGAGAGGCAGGAGAGATGCCAGCCCATCACCCAAGGAACAACATGCCAGCAGACTGGTAATGCCACAGCCATGTGGCAAACATAGATTAATAAATGGGTTAGTTTAAGATGATAGAGCTAGCTAGCAAGAAACTCAAGCCCTTGGCCATACAGTTTGTAATTAATATAGGCCTCTGAGTGATTATTTTATAAGCGGCTGCAGGACGGTGGGGCTGGGTGGGACTGGAGAAACTTCCGCCTACAAGGGGCCAGAAGTGAGATTGTGTTCATGGCCTTAATGAGGGGCCAGGCTCTGTGGTGCACACTCACCCCACCTCCAAGAGCATCTTGGGTTTAATGAGAGCATGAGCCTGGGCTCAGGCTGGCCTCTGTTCCCCACAGGAAAGGAAGTAGATGGTACTTTCTAGCACTCCCTGAAATTTTGCTTGAGCAACATCCAAAACATTGGAGAAACTGAATGGCACACTCAATCAATTAGGCCTAGGACCTGGTGGGTAGGCCAATGGTGCCAAACACTAACCCTTTAACAAACTGAGAGAAGGCCTGACAACTGAATGCCATCAACACTGGCTGATGACTATGCAAGGCATCGGATGTGGGAGAGAATAGATACCAGCTCCACTCTTCATAGCTCGACAGGGTTGTTGAGGGAGCTGGGCCTATAGTCCCAAACAGAATGGCCATGGCTTCACCCACACTGGTCAGACAGTACAGTGGAAACAAGGGGCAGACATACCCAAGTGTATCTAACGGTCCAGAGAGGCTCTGTGGGAGGCAGCAACAGCCCTGCTCAATCTATAGGTACTAACCACCAGGTACCCTGGCCAGGAATAGTTAGTGTTAGCTGCCTGTGATCCCTCAATCCTGGGATTCATCTTTTCTCTTCGTGGCCAGTAGAGGAATGAAGAGGCTATGAAATTGTTGGCTGGTGCAAGCAATCTTATCCATACGGGGTACCCTGGGAAACACTGGGAGGAATTCCCTCCTCTTAGATACTGGAAGCTGAACGCTCAGGCATTCCTGCCAACGGATCACTCGGCCTGTGCACAGCTGCCTTGCTCACTACAGGAGTAACAACAGAGATGATGAGGGAGTGAAGGCCCAAGTGTTGCCCAGGTGTGCCACTGGACAGGATCACGATGTGCCAGAGGGCTAGAGAATATACCAAGTAGGGAGGGTGCCCTATTCCATGGTGATTCTGCAACCCTAGCCAGTGAGATGCTCTTACGCATCAACTGTGATGAGAAAAGGGATAGGGCCACATTCTTCAGTTGTAAATTGTTCTTCCCCAGGAGAGGTGTTATTTGCTGTTTTTAGGCTTGGTCTCCTCTCACCCAGGTTTGCTTTAAACTCCCTACACAGCTGCAGATGACCTTGAACTCCTGATCCTCCTGCCTCTACCTCCCAAGTGCTAGTGTGTGCCACCACGCCTGGCCACGAGCGGTACTCAAAGGAAGAGAATGAACCGTGATGTCCGCAAATGTGTAAGAAAGATCAGCTGATATCACTGTCTGGGAGCACAAACATAAAACCAAGGAAACACAGCTCCAAAGGAAAACTACGGCCAACGCTGCTCCTTACCGACCACTGGGTGGCACTGTGTACCACAGACAGCTTGGTTGCTAGGGCACCAATTCTGGGATGTAATATGAAACTTGGGAATGAATGTCCAAAGTATGTACAGGTGAATATTATTCCCCCTAAAAAGGAAATTCTGACACATTATAGCATTGACTAACCTTAAGGACATTATGCGTAGTGAAATAAGACAGGCACAAAAGAACAGAGTACCTCAAATAATCCAGCTCATGGAAGAAGTGGATGATGACCAGGGACTGGGAGAGAGACTAGAGAGATGCTATTTCACTGGTAGAGTGTCACGGAAGATGAAACATTTCTGAAGATGGATGTTGCTGGGCACAGTTCCTGCACAGTTCCAGCAAGGCGAGAAAGAGCAGGGCATTTTAGGTTTGGTTCCCACTGCTTTGGTCTGCAGATCACCTCTACTTCCCTAGCATTGGTCAGACTGCACCAAAATAAGTCTGCCCAATTTGACCGAAAAACTTGGTATGCAGTACTCGGTCTGATGCCCATTTTGTTCTGAGCTGTACAAACAGTAACTGGGGGCCTTGCTTGTGAACCTGCCCTTCCTGGACTCTAATCTTCATAAGCTGAGGCTGCCTATTACAATCTATTACATAAACTCAGTGCCTTGAACAGGGGCTGGCACATGGTAGATACCGTGAGTAAACAATGGTAGAAGGAAAAACAGAACCCAAAAGGCCGGTGAAGGCGGAACCTGGTAAGGTTAGTTTAGGAAGAGAGGCACTATCTGAAAATAGTGAAGCCAGGAAGGCCAAAAATTTAGTCCACCAAACTGCACAGCTAAACGCAATTCCATGATGCAAACCAAGTGAGGGCAGTCTATGTGCCATATACTGGGGACAAGAGGCTGTAGTAACAACAGAAGAAAAGGGAACTCGGACTCCAGGGGCAACAACTATGTTTGGGAAAATACTCTGATCCCACAGCTTCCTGGAATAAAGTGAGCACAGGGGAAAGGTTTGACGTCTCTTTGCCTGTTTACATTTTATGAATTTTTACTCATTTAGTGTGTGTGTACGAATTTGTGTGAATGCCACCGTGTAGTGGCCAGAGGACAATTTGGAGGAGACGATTCTCTTTCTCCATGCAGGTCCAAGTGACTAATTATCAAGTTGTTGGGCTCCTGGAAGGTACCTTCAACTGCTAAGCCATTTCACTGGCCCCTTTCTTAAGGTTTTAGAGCTAAGGAAACTGTTCCTTAGACTAACTGCTATTCATGGGTTACCGTGGAAAGAGTCTGCTCTGCTTTTCCCTTGTAGAAAAATATGAAGGAGTACCCTACAGAATCACTACTTGTTTGCAGAGCCATTGGTTTTACTGGCTTCAGTTTAGAGAAAGTCGGTTCACCTAGAATCGAGACGACTTGTAAGGGCATTTTTTGGTTATGAGTAGTATGACTCTCCATCCAGGTTTGTATCTGTTGTTCCTTGTTAACTTATTAATAACTTGTCTCATAGTTCACTCTGTAAACTACTGGGGTTTGGACAATAAATCTGAAGGTCACCCAACTTATAAATAACATTTATAACTGGCTGTGGAGGTCCTAGGAAGAGACAGAGGAACAAACATTTCCACTGGCTGAGCACCACCAGCAGAAGGCTTCAGACTGTTCAGAGGAGAGTGCTTTGCTGGGAGCAGGCCCAGGTGTTCCAGGCGTTTCCTGCAGAGAAGGCCTGAAGGAAGGAACGGGGTGGCCGGTGGGGGTGGAGGACCACCTCTTCTAACCCTCTGCTCTGGTCAGGAGTTTAGGAAGTCACTTAGTCCACCTCACCCCTGGGCCCGATGGCACAGGCTTGTCATCCCAACTACTTGAGAAGCTGAGGGAGAAGGATCAGAAGTTCAAAGCCAGCCTGGGCAATTTAATCAGATCCTGTTTCCAAAATTAATAAATAAAAGTTGAATTAATAAATAAAACTACAGTAGTTTAAGGCTCTAGGTTTAATCCCTAGATATGGGGCAGGGAGCCATCTGGGCCACCAGTTTCCCAGCCTGTAACCCTGAGATAACAGTGTTTTCCTCCAGAGACAGGCTCGTTACTTAACAATGGCTGCTATTATTCCATTATATAGATGGAGCCAGGAAAGGGCGAACTGCTGATCAAGGCACATACTAATTCTGGCCAGCTGGAACCACGTCACCATACACTACCTGACTTGGAGAGAGAAGTTGCCCAAGGTCACACAACTCCTGATCGGCCGGGTCTGCCTCTGCGCCCCACTCGCTGTGGGGACATGAGCAGGACCAGCACTCCTGTTCCAAGCACAGGAGAGGGTCGAACACAACAAAGGGCGGGGGGAGGCTTGCAAAAGTCATCGAATCTCGGAGATTCGAACTGGAATCCGGGGGTGGGGGGGAAACAGGGGAGAGTTAGTGGCCTCCTCCTCAAGAAAGCAAAACAGATCACCTTTTACACTCGCTCCCTCGGCGGGGAGGAAGCACCAAGCCCCGGGGCTGGCTGAGAGCTTACGTAAGGCCACTCGCGGCTGCGCCCCGGTGTCCCCAGGGTGTGCGCAGCGCCAGGGAGCGGAGCGAGGGCGGGCCTGCCCCACCACACGCGCTTCCCAGCCTCTCTAGACTCAGGGACCACCGGCCCCAGGGCCGCAGCGTCGGGGCTGGGCGCGGCGTCCTCCCACGGCCCCCAGCTTCCCGGGGGAGGAGCAGCGCATCGCGCAAGCATCCGGGATCGGCGGAGGGGGCGGGAGGAAGGGCAAGAGGAGGAAGCGGGATTTAAACGAAAGGCGGTGACGCCACACAAAAGATTCCTATAGGCTCCGGGGAGGTTACGGCCGAGGTGGCGGCGGCGAGCCGGGGGCGAGGCGGACGCGAGGAGGCGAAAGCCGCAGCCGCGCGCGGGCAGGCGGGTGTCCCCTGGCCTGCGGTCTCCGCCCTTCCTTTCAGTTGCTCGGAGGTCGCTCGGAAGTTGCTGGTTGACAAACATGGCAGGAGTCGGGGCCCCGGTCGGTCGCCGAGGAGCCGCGCGCACCTTCTGAGCCGACTACCCTGGGGGCGTCGGATGCGCGGGGCCCGTGGGTTCTGCGGGGGAACAGGGATGGAGTCGCCACGACAGCCGCTCGCCGGGCGCGGGCCATTCAGGAGGGGACGGCGGGCCGCCGCGGCGCCGGGCCGAGCACTCTGAACCGCCAGGCGGGAAGGCGCGGCCGCCCAGCGCCCTGTGTTGCAGCCTCCCGCCCGACTGACTACGCG